AAAAGATGGATAAACGACGGGCTATAGTGTCCATCGTGGATGCATGTCGTGACCGAAGATCTACTGAAATGAAGCCAGAATACCGTCCTACAATTTTATGCCCCGTTGTGCTGCCTGATTAGTCGTGTCGCCAAGGGAAACAAACCGTGGAGGCTGTCAGAACTATACCCATACCCATGTCACGTGCACATCAGTCTTGATAAATATTTTGAGAGTCAAGGGCATAACATGAAGCAGCCCTTCCGGGGTGCCTCTGTGATATCCGTCACTGCTTACAAACTAACGAACCACAGCTCTCATGCAGTTGCCTGCCTAATGCAATGATAGGAACAAATGCGTTCAGGTTTTCCTGGAGATTTTGCCCTCACTTTCTTGGAAGCTTTCTAGGATCAGTATGAGCGCACCTATTCTATTCAGCCGACAGAACTGCTGATCGTAACAGAGTGGCCCCAAAAGATTGACCATCATTGTGAATTAGTTGGTCACGTGCTATGGAGTCTTCCAATCGCTGCTTTAATTCGCATCTTACATAATCTTACCGCAGCATGATAAAATCAGCCTCAAAGGAGAATGTGGCGATAATTTTGTCTACCATGGTGATTTATCCCGCCTGAGGGCTAACGGTTTGAGGACATGCAAAAATATATAAGACTCAGATATCCCAACGAAAATATGACAGTTCCAAACAATTTCAGTCTCGGATTACTGGTAGAAGGTTATATGCTCTGTGAACTGTTCGAGGCCTTTTCGACCTGGATAACTTGGCAGAAAAATGCTTTCTTACAGAAAAATGTCAAGCATATACCTCCAGGCAAAACGATCCCTCGAACAAGTAAGAACCTTACTGTCAAGGATGACGGTGAATTGTTTCACAGAACAAGTGGAAAAATTGCGTTTAAATTTCTGTAGCAGTTATCAAGTGTGTGGTGCCTTTCGTAAAAGGTTCATATAGCAGTTAGGTGGAGTGGGTGGGTTTATGTGATTACTCCCTGAAATCTAGGTAGATTTTTGTTGCATTCCAATGTTACCATTGCATGCAATTCCGGAGAAAGAACTATAGTTAGTGAGGCAAAATAGGATGTTAAAAACATAACTCTGGAACCGTGTGAAGCGTTGAGGGAAGCAGATATCAGGATAAGGTCAGCTAAGTGAACAAGCTAACTGCCACAAAAGACTAGATTTGTCTACTTGAATAAGTACTCCCGATTGTGAACCGTGTATAAACGCCCATTTACATCTGCCGTGTTTAAAGGAACAAACAGTTTCTTTTTCAAAATCCAATTGTCCAATCATATATCAGTGAGTGTACTGATGATGCCTCTGTGACTGATGATGGAACGTCGGTAATTAAGCTGCGAAGCTCAGCGTACAAGTTACAACCATCTGATCTGTAACCATTTAACAATTCGGAGAAGAATGTGTCCCTATAAACCAAGAAATGTCTTTGATGTTCACTTGAGGAAAAGTCCTTGTGGGCTCCCAGAATTGCACTTCGGTCTGCGTCCCATTACTCACACACTGGTCGTCATTTCGGTGTGCTGATGTAACGGTGATACCACTAATAGGAGCATGCGAGTAGTATGTTTTCTCATAGGTCCGCTTTGTGTCTCTTGAAAAGTGAGATCTACTACGGAATTTGTGGAGTCGCTCTGTGGTTTTTGCTTGATATTGAGTAACAGTCAATGAATATCCGGAAAAGTTCAGGAAGACGCGTTCAAGGAGAAGGTGGGTATTCTGTTTTTGCAAACAAGTTGCATACGAGAGTTTTGCTCCCCTGTCCAATAGTTTGTAACTGTTCAGTTGGGATTCTAATAAATAACTGCGCAGAGAGGGCCTTATCGGATGCACTTAAAAAGCTGTGACTTTAGAAAATACCAATGCGAAGGCCCAGGTATGAGTCCACTGTCATGACAGTCGAAGTCAACTACATCAAATCTCTTTAAGCGATTTTGTAAACCACCCAAAAGGTAAAAAGAATTTAGGCCAAGACCTACATCAATTTTCAGCGGTCAAATAAGTTTTCAGTCGCAAACTGCAACACCAGATGTTTACCTACTAAGTGAAAAGATGGATAAACGACGGGCTATAGTGTCCATCGTGGATGCATGTCGTGACCGAAGATCTACTGAAATGAAGCCAGAATACCGTCCTACAATTTTATGCCCCGTTGTGCTGCCTGATTAGTCGTGTCGCCAAGGGAAACAAACCGTGGAGGCTGTCAGAACTATACCCATACCCATGTCACGTGCACATCAGTCTTGATAAATATTTTGAGAGTCAAGGGCATAACATGAAGCAGCCCTTCCGGGGTGCCTCTGTGATATCCGTCACTGCTTACAAACTAACGAACCACAGCTCTCATGCAGTTGCCTGCCTAATGCAATGATAGGAACAAATGCGTTCAGGTTTTCCTGGAGATTTTGCCCTCACTTTCTTGGAAGCTTTCTAGGATCAGTATGAGCGCACCTATTCTATTCAGCCGACAGAACTGCTGATCGTAACAGAGTGGCCCCAAAAGATTGACCATCATTGTGAATTAGTTGGTCCCGTGCTATGGAGTCTTCCAATCGCTGCTTTAATTCGCATCTTACATAATCTTACCGCAGCATGATAAAATCAGCCTCAAAGGAGAATGTGGCGATAATTTTGTCTACCATGGTGATTTATCCCGCCTGAGGGCTAACGGTTTGAGGACATGCAAAAATATATAAGACTCAGATATCCCAACGAAAATATGACAGTTCCAAACAATTTCAGTCTCGGATTACTGGTAGAAGGTTATATGCTCTGTGAACTGTTCGAGGCCTTTTCGACCTGGATAACTTGGCAGAAAAATGCTTTCTTACAGAAAAATGTCAAGCATATACCTCCAGGCAAAACGATCCCTCGAACAAGTAAGAACCTTACTGTCAAGGATGACGGTGAATTGTTTCACAGAACAAGTGGAAAAATTGCGTTTAAATTTCTGTAGCAGTTATCAAGTGTGTGGTGCCTTTCGTAAAAGGTTCATATAGCAGTTAGGTGGAGTGGGTGGGTTTATGTGATTACTCCCTGAAATCTAGGTAGATTTTTGTTGCATTCCAATGTTACCATTGCATGCAATTCCGGAGAAAGAACTATAGTTAGTGAGGCAAAATAGGATGTTAAAAACATAACTCTGGAACCGTGTGAAGCGTTGAGGGAAGCAGATATCAGGATAAGGACTGCTGTTAAGAGGTGTTTATGAAGCTATGGATGGGACAATCATGCAAGTTTATAGGGGTTTCCTCCACTAGCCAATGTTCGTTTTAAATTTTCGTATCGTCTGTACCCAGCTCGATTTGGGAATGTTTAAAAGTGCCTTGCGTTTGCCCTAAAGATCTTAGAAGGAAATGGAGCTACAAATTGCTTGAAAACAGTTACCAGCTCGTCCGATGACCGAGTTATTTGGCGTGAATCAACTTTTGATGAAAGTCAGGAAAATTCACGTTCACCCTCATTTTCATGGCATTTGGAGACCAAATCAATAAGAAAAAATGAAGATTTTCAATACGCTTTTTTTAGGGAATTTTTTTATCTCGTTTGATTTCTAAGTTCGGCCACACTAACCCTGAAAACGTGCATACCCAGAACAGTTTAATATCATTCCTTTCTTCAATGATCCCTCCTCGGTATTATGAATTTTATTTAGGCTTTTTATAAAACTCCTAAATGTGTGGCAGTCAGTCCTGCTCTCAAAATAGCAGAGTTGATAACATTGAACTAGTACTACTGATGAGGTCACGATTTGACTTCGTTTAGCAGTTTTCTATAGTGGTTATATCATCAAAACACTGGGCTTCAAGGTCAGATAACTTGAAGATAAGTTACTTTAATTTCCAACATTCTGACTTACGTGTGATGGATTCGATCCTCAAAGCCTCGAACGCTCACGAACGGCACGAATTATATGACATGGCATCAATGGGACAAAGCCAAGAATACAGACCCGGTCAACCTTCTAAATCAGTAAACGTTAAACTTTACGCAGAAAGAAACCTGAACGAATTACACTGAATTCGACGCTGATGCACCCAACACTTGGCACCACTAGTCAAGGCTTTTACTTGATAACGTGACTTAGAAAGTACGGAGGTTAATATGTTATTTCGGGGTCTTCAGCGTAAGTAATTCAGCTAGTGAAAGTAAATTTAGGACATAACTTACAACGTTATTGGCAGGCCACACTACGTTTGGAACTCACCAGCAAGATTTGATATTGGAATTTTCTTCAGTCTTATCTCTTGAGTACACATATGTGGACTATACACTCCAGGTTTGTTTCTTTTAGAAGAGAGACTCAAATGAATTTTTACGAAATCTTCCCTCTATTACATTCTCCAATTGCGTTTTATTGACGAAGCTCACCTCATGTTTTAGTTAGAATTATACTGAAAACAGGTGGGCAGTCCTGTTAAGGAAAAGTCCTGGACAAGCTTTCTGGTAGTTCTGACTTTAGACCCAATTTGCGAATTTAAATTATTCCTAATGATTTAAGAAGCGGTCTTTCTCGCGCAAATTTAGGTGAATAATATCATAAACAGGCGACTCTTGCGTGGGATTTGCTTGAGTCTTTCGTGGCCAACATGCCAATTTGCCAGTAAGTTTTTTTATATTTACTAGTAACCCAGTTTATTGCATCGTAATTGCCAGTTGAATAACGAGGACTATCTGTCTACACATTGACCAGTGATATACACAGACAAACTCTGATTTCAAATAAGATGCGCATAAACTGAACAGCAATCACGTGGGAAGACAGCAAGTTTGGTTAGTGCTGATTAAATAATTCATCGATCGATATTTAACGATGATCGCCATTGTTTAATCTTGTATTTCCACATCGGGAACAACTGGCACTTGGTTTATCTATGCAATACCCTTCAGGTTTGACCCATTCAACCAAAGCTTCAACTCTAGGGGTGGTCTTTTTAATTAACACTGGCTCATTTTTTTGCGTTTTTTTCATACATGTTATTCAGCATTCTGGACGGAAACCAACTGGAGCGAATCGACCCGTTTGCATTTGAAAGTAATACAAAGTTAAAGAAACTGTGAGTTGCGCATGTGTTATTCTTGTCGTTTGGCGAACAATGTACGTTCTTCTTTTATAAAATGAAGTTTCAAACATCGTGAAAAAAACTGTTCAAATACTAAGGCCGCCAGTGAGCACAAAGACGAAGTCATCTTGCTTGTTCATTGTTACTATCCGGCAACCAATGCCAAAGTTGTGACAGTCTCTCCACCTATACACGGCATTGATAACTAATCCGAAACAACAGAAAATAGCTATTAAAATTACGTGAACCAACCAAAAAGAATGCTTTTTATTTTGAACATGCGGTTTGACAGATTAACTCAATGTTTCCCAGTTCATTCGCCTAGCCTGATCACATTGCGGTTTTGTGTATCATTGAGTCTACCAAAATGCAGCGTGGTGCGCATAAAACCATGTACAGTTTATTGTTTCTACTCTAACTTTGCTAGCCCAAATGTAACGCTTTGATTGCACTGTTCATCAATTTCACCACTAACGCACCACGCCTCCAGAACAGTATAACGCTACGTGATCCGGTCGATGTCATACATTGACTAAATTCAATGCAGTTTGAATAAAATGACAACGGGCGTCAATAAATCATGCAGTCTGTTCAATTCAGAAGGATATTTTGTTCCCGACAGGAAGAAAGCCTTATCCACCTATCCAAAACAAGATTACTTCGGTGTGATGTGGTTTCACTCACCGTTGGTGAATGAGCAAATCAGTTGGTCATTTCACCAATCGATATTTTATTCATTCGGGGAATGCTTCAGACAAACGCCCAGTATCGGCCGCATTTACAAGAAACTTAAAAACGTACAATAACTAATGGAAAAACAGCCTCCTGTGGTTGTCCATCTCAAGCGTCAAGTGATGACTTCCAATTGATTCCGTAACAGTACCACTTAAATTTCTGGAGAGAATATGGAAGTTTTAAACAAAGATTTCGTCTTGCAAGTGAAGGCAATCTATGTCGGAAAGCCGAGAAACATTCATATTGAAAATCACCAGTGGTATGCATCCCGAGAATCTCCAGGGGGATTCGAACTCGCCGATCCCAACGCAGCACAGCATAGCACTAGATGAAACCTCAGATATGGGGATATCACAACCAATTACTACCTTCGTAATATATATATATATGTATATATATATATATACTGATCACGAACAAGAGCACCGAATGACTGGAAAATGGTAATACCTACTGAGCTCTAAGGAATAATACCCAGCATACGCTGAGACAATTTCAAGAACTCTAGGATAGTTTTTTTTTCAATTTCAAATCTACTGGGAGTTCACGGTATTCCTGAAATTCTAGAGGAGTGTCAAAAACCATGGCTTTGGTTTTTAGTTCTTCGTAGCACAAGCATAGCACCAAGCCGTGTTTTTCATCACATAGTTAATACAAGGGTAGTGCTCGATGGTTTGATATCGAGATGGCGATTCACTTGCGCTCAACCGAATGTATCGATCGAGGATGCGTACGACATACGAACCTTCGTTTTCCAAGTAAAACTTACGTATTTAAGACAGTTACGTGTTCTAGTGTATATATCTGTTTAGGTTCCGTCAAAAACACAAGTGACAGAGCATCAAATATCAAGCGAGATTTCATCCTGTAAGTGGGCGTATTCTGCGCGAGAAGGCCGAAAAACACTATACAGCTGTTTCATTCTTATTGGAAGTCATCAGCATTGCGCATCATGCGAAACTCCAGGGGGGTCTCGAACCAGCGAACACCCGCTAAATAGTTTGAACATTTAACTGTTCGGGTGGCTGTGTGATCAACTCGCAGTTAGACAGGGTATAGCGCCGCTTATCATTTAATCACGGTATCATCAAAATTATCACATGTTATCATGAGGTTATCAAATTGTAGTGTACAGTTTTTGTAGTGGAATCATCGCGGTGAATTATCAATAATGTCTCTTTGGTCACAGATCTGCTCTACAGTCCGACGACCTGGATTCGATTGCTTTTTGATGCCTTCAACCTAACAGGTATCGTCGAAATTCAACCGCTACAGAACACTGTACACTAGCATCGGTAGACATAAAATATATCCAACCGTAATAGGTCTGAGTACAGTTCCTAATAGATTTGACCATTTAATTCATCCGAATTTCACGCTTCCGATCGATCCTAGTTACTAGTCTATGTACGTTGGGTCAACAGTCACGTATGATGTGTTACTGCGCACAAATGTGACACCTGATGACCGTTGCAACAATTTATCAGTGGGACACGAATGGTTACAACTTGTTTTACACGAGTTCCAGTCCAAAACCACTTATGTCAACTTTCTACCGGAAACACGGAATGTCACTTCAATGTCACGGTTCCGGACCAACTTTTATTACTTCTGTAAATAAATCCCAATTTTAACAAAGTTGGCTAACACTTCTCAACGATTTTTGTTTTGAATGATTTGTTTCACGCGCCAAACTTGTTTATTCCCAACAACTTTACATTTCAGAATTTTGAGCAACAACTCACTGACAACATTCGACCATCGTATCCTTAAAGGTTTGGAAAACTTGGAAATACTGTAAGTTCTTTTTTGCGGACAGTGTACCTATAATTGCCTTTTTACTGTAGATTACTTCAACACAATCAGCTGGGCTGTTTGAATAACTTTACGTTCAGCCATGTACCATCCGTGAAAATCGTGTAAGTATATTTTTACGTAGTACACTTTTCATAATTGGCGGGAACAGCTCAATCCATGTGGACCCTTGTGGATTGCACAAGCAAATAAAAGAATGCATCTAAAGTTAATTCTATGGTGATGGATATATGTTTCATGTGTCGTGATTACAATCTTACCGGAATACATCAGATATCTGGCACCACTAGATCCGCTTTCGATCGAAAATCGTTTCTGAATCCAATGAGTTGTCCATTAGAGCTGGTACCCCTGTCTAACGAAATAAAGTCGAAAAAACTACTCTAGATTTGCTGGATTCTCGTTGTATTGGTCTTTCATCTGCCCCCCCCCCGTTTCATACACCCCAAAATGCACTTGAGTTTTGCCACTGCCAAAACTCACTTGCGATCTTATACCAAGGTGTCGGATAAGCCAGTCACATTGTCGAAGCGTGGGCACCTGTTCAAGTTCGTCCACTGAAGGCAAGTGGATTGTGCGTAACATCCTCCTTTTGTATATCATATAGTTGGAATCTCGACACGGACTAAGTTGTGCAGGGTTGATGTGCCTAATGATAGTGGAACTCGAACCCACTGCCTCCTTTGTCTTGTCAGAACAGAAGAAAGATCGTTCCAACAAGAAATACTTAAACGCACATCCTAAAATTTTTGCGATCACCCAAATTTAATCAAGATAGAGGCGTTATACTCATAAGGTTGCCGAAATTCCTTCGATGAGAGATTCAGTTAGGTTCCAGGTAAGTCTCCCGCAAAACCAAATTTGTCTGCAAATGAGTGTATTTCGCTAATCAAGACAGAGTTCATATCTTGTTGTGATTCATCAACATGGTAGTACAGCAGTTGTGTCCTTGCTTAGTCTCCGTTCACCCATGAATCCGCTTCTCCTACTTTTTTTCCGATCGATTAATGCTAATCAATGAGCGTGTAGGTGTAGCTTGGTTGAACAGTGATCTTGACATTGGTTAGATGAAATAAAAGAGCTGTCGTGAGCAGTGATCCCCTAGTCCATAGTAGTGTATGAAAAAACCGTCTCTGTAATTCAAAACTTTTGTTCGCGTTGTAAAAGCAAACATCGGCTTAATGCACTATCATATTACATCTAACGTAACATGAATTATAAGCAAGATCGGTAGTAAAAGGCCGTGCCAAGTACCACCCACATGTTCACAAAAAAATGACCCCAATGCTGAGATGAACTTGACCCTTTACTTGGCAAGACAAGATGGAACTTCTGGTCCCTAAAGCAATCTGGGACTCACATCCTAAATGTGAGGCCAAAAGGTCTTTTCACCTGGGTTTTGAACTGGTTCGAATGAGCGTTCTATCCCATCTACTCTTCTCGAGTTATTTACAACGTGGACGCTAGAAAGAGCGGAAAAACAATGATCAAGGCAGCACACCGGTTTTATCATATCCATGTGAACCTTGGGAACACAGTACACACGACATGAGTTGAACTATAAAAGGAACAGTTTAACGAGAAGTGTTATGCGCTTTACAACAGTTTTTTTTAAATTTCGATGGGTTATCCAGAATAATGAAGTTTGAAACTCGATATCGCGATGGTACATCCAAACATTTTTCATGTTCTCCAACACATTCGCCGATGGGATAAAGACACCAGTAGAACTGATGAAATAGGATTCTTACTTTAGATGTCGTGCGATAAATTTCCAAAAATCAGGGTGTTAACGAGAGACAACTGTATCTCTAGTTTATAGTATTATTCATATACAATTGCTGGGTCGCGTTCCAGTTGACCGGTCAGTCTAGATGTCATAGTATGTTCTTCTGATGTCTACCCGATGAGTGGTAGTAAGCTTTCAAAGTTTTCAACAGCCTTGCGAGTTGGATGGTATGTCAAAGATGAAAAACTTCAGTTGACTGACCAGTGAAACGAAGTCGTTCGCTTGTAAATCACGCATGAAGTTTAACGCTAGACGTTCTGCAAACTTATGGTAGATCAAAAGACCAAATTTTGACTTTGGAACAAATCCACGGTTTTCATGGTTTGAACGCAACTGACACATTGCAAACAGCGGTCTGGTGGCCCTCGCCACTCACAAGACAAACCCAAAGCACTCACATAAGTCTAAGTGGACGACAACAGTCATAGAGACTTGCGTCTAGCTCTACTGTATGCTTAACACGCAGAAACATCAAAGGTAAGTCTTCATATATATATACATTTATATATATATATATATATATATATATCCGCAGTTCCCTGTCCTGTCAATGAAACTTCACATGGGAGAGTTCACCCTCGAAACGTGTCCGTCAAACTACCCGCGTCTAAATGAGCATTGTTCAATAAGTCGAAAGATTTTGGACACGAGATTTCAAAAACGCATTTCTCCGCTGAAGTGCTAAATTCTGCGCCTATCTACATGGAACCATAAAAGTCGATAGGTCGGATATCCAATCCCAGACTCTCACGATACATATATTCAAATATTCCCGAAGAAAAATGAATCACTGGTAATCCGACAAGTTTTGACTCACGCGTTTTGAAGATTGCCATACATCTGAACAGAGCACTTCAAAAAAACTATGTATCGTCTGTTGTGAAACGTATGTCTTCGAAAGCTTTTAGAGGGGTAGACGATTTTGTGTAGTGCAGTCATCTACAAAGTCACGTTACTGTGATGATGTAAGTAGTATATTCAACCACATCCTAACAATAGCTGATCATGCCTTGACCTCGGGAAAACTTTGTGAATTTCGCTTCGATCGTTGGGCAAAGTGTCACGCACGATAAATGTCTACCTTCAGTTTAACACTAACAATACACCAAAATGCTTGCGAAGCGTGTCCGTCTTATTTTGGGTTAGCAATCCTTCCATTATTTGTGCTCCTTAACACGAAGGGATCACTTTGCTATGTTCCGCTCACTTGCAACCCGTTACATTTAGTTTCGTGGTGAACCGAAAGTGTTTAGCGGCACACAATATATCGATTGTCTACATTTGCTTAGAGCGAACGAAAATTCGATTCTCATGGTGCCGGTACTGGATTGTTGTCAAATCGGTATACTCAGATTTTTGTCGTAGTTTGGTTAGTGAGGCACCAAACATTTGTTCATGTTTGCCGGTTTAGGTCTGTTGGTTAGCCAGCGATGCATCTTGGGGGTAATGCGTACACATTCAGATAGATAGATAGACAGACGGATAGATAGATAGACAGACAGATGGCAGCCTCTCCTTTTCGACAGGTGTTTATTATGCACCTAACGGTAATGAAGTCTGGTTACTACTTGATGCCGACTAGAGATATGAAGTGCACGTTTCTTCCGTCGCAACTAATGGATGTAAGCCATTTAAACTACCTCTCTCCCTCTTGCTTTCTCGTAATTTGGCTGTTAAAGCAGGAGCACTTGAACGCTTTTTTTATTAAAAAACAGTAGGTAATTAGCGTTCCCCATGAAGTCATGTGAATTCACTCAGTAGACGTCCTATCCAGAACGTTAAAACTCCGCAAAATGAGGAGCCTCAGTAAATTTAGAATGCTATATTTGCACACGCATTCTTTGATTATGGTTTCGTAATTTTGGGGGATTCTAAATGTATGCGTAAGTCGCCTCCCAAAACTTCAACGTGAATTTTTAAACTTCGGGTGGTAGGCCAGCGTTGCACATTACGCAATATACCTTCATCATACCGTCTTCTTGCTGTGCGAGGCATTCTCAAGAGGGTTCCGCCTCTCCAGTACGAAAGTGATTGAAGGATTTTATCGAAATACGATTCCAGAAGTGATAAAGGTTTCGTCTCAGGTTCAGACAGACAGGCCGTTCTCTTCTGGGTCATGTAATTCCACTGCACGAATGCTAGTATCTGATATGCGTCGGGTGGCACATTGTGGCGACAATAAAACTGTGAGCTGAGCCGACCGTGTACCGAACAAGTAACATATTCTAACAAACTCACTTCCTCCCTTTGTTTGCTAAGTGTGATCCCTGTGGGAGGCTGATGTAACTGTCATGGGGATTGGCAAAAGGTGATCCATTACAGCTACTTCCTACGTAAACCAGTAGTTCAACATATTTGAGGTCCAAGCATAACACAAGATGGAAATAACCGTTATGTGACATCTTATAGCGTGGTACAATAATAATATAATATAATATAATA